AGTTATAGTTATTAGTTTACACACTGTCTCAATTGCAACACAAATTAATTGCCCCTTTCCACGGCCTTACCACTTACCTGACAACTGCAGAAGTATACCTTAGTAAAAATACCCTGGTTGGGAATTTCTGATGTAGATCACAGTTTACACAAGGTTTAGAGACACCCTGAGGACCACAGGCGTATAATATGTTCACATATTCTGCTCTCAGAAATGAGAGAGGGGTCATCCCACAGAACAGAATGAGAAAACGTTTTTTCATGCAATGGTTTGGACAAAGGACAAATGACTGGAGTGGACCCACTCTGAGGACAGGTAAAGGACAGGACAGGCAGGACTGGAATCAGTTTGGCCTGGCCTACAGGCTCAGCTCTGCTCTGTTTTGATTAAGTCCCTAACCGGATTTTTCCTATACCAATAGTCCCAATAAATCCATCTCCATGGGATATTCAACCGGCATTATTCTTGTCTTTCCTCTGTGCTGGAGAAAAGCACTGGGCACAGTTTGGAACAAGACATCCAATCTGCACTCCTCTCCATTGTCTTCCCCACCAGACAGCCCAGTGAATGAATGCTCTCGGCCAAATCCCCCTTCCATGTGCAGACACAGACTCCCTTGCCCACAGATACGCTCAGCTCTAATTAGGCAGACCGCTGGACGTGTTGCGGGAGGAAATCTCTCTGCACAGACATATCGTCTAGTGGCAGCTTTACAGATTTACGTCTTTTCATCTAGTTTGTGTGCATGTGTGTAAGCTGGAGCCGAGGGAGAGAAACACGGGGAGATACTGTAGTTGTTTTTTGACGATTTAAAGATGAGCACAATCCTTACTTTTAATGTATGGCACTCAAAGCGATGTGGGACAGAGTGTGTGAATGTGTGTGTCCGTGCTGCAACATGTTGCAGGGCCTTGCACAGCCTGCCGTTCATGCAGCTACAGAGTGTACAGTATGCTTCAAATCTACAGAAGTTGCTGAGCATTCCCCTGAGATCTGCGTCATCAGCACAGAGGTTATTTCCTGTAGTTTAAGAGCAGCATGACTCTCTTCCTGTTCTGTGTGTGTGAAGTCCCCCCCACCACCACCACTCCCAGTTTACTCTATACTGGACACAGATTACAAGGCAGACAAGCAGTTAGTAATAGATGTTTTAGCCTCACATTAGTTATTTCCTCTTTCACTCTTTAATGCATTCAAGATATATAGAGTTATTATCGCCCAGAACCACGGTTTCAGCGTCTGAACGGGAGCCCTGAATACACAGCCTGGTACCTTTTAATGTGAATGTTTCAAATGTTCACTTCAAGACGGAAAAGTGAAAAACTGTCACGGTGGTTATGTTTAAATGTCAAAGTCGCAGCAGTATAGCTACTCTGAATTGAAAGAGCAAAGGCGATCCCTTTGGAAATATAGTTTTCACATTCACTCTCAGTGCATTCATGGATTATGATTACTACCTGTAGGCCTGAAAGCTTTGGCTTCTGTAAAAGAAGTGCTACAGCTCAAGTTAAAGAAGAAGCTCAACCCCAAGGAAGTAAATATGAAATATGCGGAACTACTCCACAACATGCATGGAATTTTAAATTAACAAATGTATAGTGTACTTTAGGGGAACTGGTAATAATATGCATACAATACATTTTCTGGATAAAACGTGTTGCCTTTCTTGTTTCTTGTTTTTTAGTTTTTAAGTTAACACTGTTGTGACCCAATTTCTCCCCGAAAAGTGCATTGTGACTATAGTTAACTACATCTATGAAACACACTGCAGTACAGCATTAATGAACTTCAGCATGCAGACACAATCACAACCACTGAAGTCTCCTCTCTTTCTTTTTTGGTACTTATTTTACCCAAAGAGAAGAGCTGTTACCTTCTGCTTCCCCGACTCATCTCCTCCCTCTTCTTCTGTGTCCCCGGGGAGGCTTTGCAACACGGTCCCTTCCAGCAGCTTCCTCCTAACAACAAAAACATTGTTTTATTCTATTTTATTTTTCCTCCCCTCCATCTCAGTGGAGCTATTACTCTGCCTTATTCTGCATATGACCTGGGGGCGATGGGAGGCGGAACACATTGGCCGCGGATGATAATGTCTTTCCACACAGCTGAAATCTACGAGCTTCGCACTTCTCTGGTGGTGGTTTTGCAGCTATTTGTGGCAGTACAGCAGAATGCAGGAGAGTGGTGCTCTCATTGTGGCCTGTTGGTAACAGTTTTCTATGCTATTATTACATTAAGCATCAGCCCACTCAAAACAGAGGATGAGGCACCAAAAATACACGCGTTTGTGCCAAGACGACCATGTCCAACTCATCCACTTATTTATCCTCAAAGCTGCGGGAGAAGGTCATCGGGGTTACTTCCCACATTTGAATTCTATGAAGAGATTTTTATTTTTATTTTTTAAAAGAGTTAAGTTAAAATTAACGATAGCTGCAGAACCAAATGCAAAAAAAATGTGTCGTTTTGTCATTGATCCATAGGTTTGGCTATGTATTACATATTAGAATATATGGAAATAGCTGTATGGGGTGCTTTGAGCTAAATGCTAATGTCTGCATGCTAACATGCTCTCAGTGTTAACAAACTGATGTTTAGCATGTGTGATGTTTACAATGTTCACAATCTTAGTTTAGCACGTTAGCACACACACACACACACACACACACACACACATAATGGGATGATTGGGATCATTAGTTATGCACATATTTGCTTATAAACTTAGTAATATTGATTTTTGACCTGATGATAGCACTCATTTAAAAAGTAGAGAAAGTGATTACAGGCATCTTATGGCAATCTGTCTAACATTTGTGGGAACATTTCACCCAAAAGCACAAAAGTCAACTCTATGATGCATGGCGCCAGAAGAAAAAGTCAGAGAAATCGCCAAATTCAACAGCCTTCATCCTCTGGGGACCAAAAATATCTGTACAAAAGTTACAAAACATTTTGAGATATTTCAGTCTGAACCAGCGGTGGACTGACCGAAAGCCTGACACTGCCATCCATAGAGCCATAGTACTTAGTCTAAAAATATGAATTCATGTTTTACATCACACCTGTGTGTGTGCGTGTGTGTTCATTTTGCTCTCTAAGTGGGCCAAATGAGCAGGCAGCAGACTGGTACAAATCCAACACTGGGACTCACTGGGACTACAAAGGGCTGAAATTTGATACACTTGCAAAAACAAACCAAATCCCACAGGAGTTCTCCTTCAAGTTAAGTTTTTATTCCCCAGCCAAATACTTTTTTCTTCACTTTTGTTCAAAGATAAATTTGCTGTTAACTACACTTGCCAAAGATCAAACAAATGTGGCGTTTTTTCTTTTTTGGGTGTGGAGAGACATTAATTTGTTAGTAGCGCAGACAGAAAGGATTTCAGAAATGACTTGTATAGCATATTAAGGGCTTCATTAATTAACTCTACAACAACTTTATAAATCAAAGACTGAGTTTAAAACTGTATTGATTCATATAATATTATAAAAGTGCACTTTCACTCTACCTAACCTTTTATTTACTACAGTTGCAGGTATCCAGCTGTGCAGTGCTTTTTTGCATCACCTTCGTATTTATTTCCATTTGGGCTGATTTCCTGTTCAGGAACAGAGAGAACAGATATGAGTCAGTAACTGGTTAAAAATGTTTTAATCTTCACTTTCACAAATCACCTACTGTACTCCTACTGTCTGCAAGCCAGAAAGCATAGGTTCTGCTAACCCAAGGAATAAATGCCACACATAGTTCAGCAGGTAATATAAATCATTGTTGGGTAAGATCATAAAGATGTTCCTCTATTGATCCCCCGTGGGAGAAATTAAGTAATTAGTAAGTTTGGCACAGCAGCACAGAGAAATGTAGTGCAAATAGTAGAGAAAATCAAAAATACAATAAAAATGTAATAATGATGTAAAAAAAATGTAAAAAGCCATAATGAAAATATATACCATATATGCAATATGCAATAAAGTGGAATATGGTGTGCAAAAATAAATATTTTAAACAGTATAACTGTCAATTGTAACAAGGTGAGTTTGTGCAAAAAGAGTTGAAAAGTAGTTTCTGTTGTGTACTTTGTGGTGTGGATTGCAGTTATCAAATGATATCAGATTCTTTATTTATCAGTGATACTTCAGTATTCTGACGGCTCAAGACTGTCAAGTAAGTAAGTATTTTGTTGACCCTCATCAGCAGGAGCCACGTCCTTATAGCAGCCATCACACCGAAAAAAAGAGCAATAACGCCTCCTAGTGGTATAGTTTCACTCATACATGAGGGAAGACATCTGCAAACCATACTACTTATATCATCTTCTATAGCAAATTACAATTGTAGGGTTGTTTTTTCTGTCTAATGTATTTATTCTGTTTGTTTCCTCTTTCCATGAATGGACTTTCCTTTTATTGTAATTTCTTTCCATAGAGAGAGCTTCACTTTCCTTTAAACCAAAGCCATTGAGGTCACAGAGGTCACATGTTTTAGCAACACTGGGGTAGTCTACATTCAGGCTTAGAAATGTACACAGGGTGGATGTTTTCCAAGCTAATTTCAGTTCTTTTTAAACGTAAAATGTACTTATTTTAAGCAGGTAGAATAATACATAAACCATTGCTCCCCCAGAAGTATATGATGGAACTGAATAACTAGATTACTGGTTGAACTATAAGTCTGCGCCATGTGAGAGGTGCATTGGGAGGACTTGTGTGATGTCAGTATTTGTAAAATCTTAGGTACTATCCTGCTGAGGCAGAGTAGCGTAATGTGGGACTTTCCAAAGCACAGTGACTGTACAGTGACACTGGCTACCATCTTGTGAGTCTTTAAGTTACATTAAATTGGGAACACATCCTACAGTACAAAACTATACAAGTGTATTTGTGTAATGTACAGTTTTATATATGTATTGTAAGGTTTGACATAGTGAAGAAATGCACAATTCATTGTGGATTGTCAAAGCAGCCAATGAAGGAAACAAGCTGACCAGCCAATGAGAGTGAGAGTAGGGCGGGACTCCGGTGCCGGTGACACAGCTTCAGTGTAACGATGATGGCAGCCGATGCAGACAAGATGTGTTTGATCGCCCTTGTTTTGTTCTTCCTTCTGACATCAGGGTAAGTGAAGATACATAAATCATAAAGTTTGTGTCTTAGTCTGTTTAGGTACACATTGATAGTGTTTGCGTGGTTTGGATCCACAATGTGATGGTACGATCGGCAGTGTGTGTATATATATAAGAGATGGCACTGGTTTGGGTTATAGGTAAAAGGTTGGGTTGAGGTTGAACATCATATAAGGCTGTGACTGAGTTATAAATCACATACTAAAGTAGTGTTTATTAAGTCGAGTATGCGGTAGGGTTAGTGTTTCAGAGCCGGGGTGGGGTTCGGAGGAAACAAATCGATGGGTCCCTGAACTCACCACAACACCTGAGTTCAGAGCTGTGATGTTAAATCCAACCGGTAGGAAGGAAAAGCAAAGAGATAACGACATATAAAGTAATCATTAATCCATAAAAAAATAAAAAAACAAAAACTTACTTTCACTTTCCTTTCCTTTTCTTCTTCTTGAGATTGTTATAGGCTACTGTTACTGCCCCCTTCAGATCATTTAGAGATAGTTTACCAGTTGTGAAAACACCCCGAAACTGATTGAAATGGTCAAATATCCTCTAAATAATCTACTGTAAAACTATAATGTATTATTATTAATTATTATTAATAGTCCAGGCTTTTATTGGCTTCACCCCCTGAACTCAAGCTGCCTTTATTTGGCCTTTAATTCATTTTGCACAAAACTTTCAAAGATTGGAAATACTATCATACTATGGTTTATTTAAACCAGTATGAATATTACTTATTCTATTGAATAATATCTCAATTAGGAATCATTCATTTGATCATTTGATACTTTGGTGCCCAGGGTTTCTGTAAAATGAACTGAATGATTGAATTGTGGACAATCTAACTGATCTAATGATGTTCATATTGACAAAGGTTTAAACATTTACGTTTGTGTATAGCTTAGAACTCGCTCAAGAGGGAGACCGACGGGCTTTAAGAGGTTTTATACATCCAAAGAATTTCTGTAGAATCCAGACTAGGCCTCTAATTGAGACCTGCCTTTATTTATCAAAACATGTAGCCACACCCGAAATTTTTATTTTAGCCCCTTGTAAACCTGGGTGTGTATTGTGTGAAACTCATCTGTTGGTAGGATAAACTGTATGATCATGACTGATAATGAGCAAATGTCTTGTTGCTGTGGTTCATAAATACATGCACAGTCATGATTATTCTGGGGATCTCCCAGTTTCTCTTGGTTACCCTCCACTTGTTTCCGCGGTTTTCCTGCCGCCATAACCCGCACGCAACTGCAGTGACGTAACCGTAACCGTCCACTCCAAATTCATATATTTGGAGTATGCTCAACTGTCTCAGCCTCCTGACATAGATGTTTTCCTAGAATGAAAAGTGTACAATTAGAAACCTGCTGTACTTTCACTTTAGTTTTACTGTGGCTTTCTTATCACCAGGGCCTTTTCTCCTGCCTCAGGCCAGTGTACAGATGGGACCTACAACTATAAGGGGAAGGACTGCTGTCGGTGTGGTGCTGGTAAGTGTCAGGGGTTACATGTGAGTAGCTACAGAGAAATCAGTTTACAAGTTCTTTAATTTGGGCTGCTGGATAGCATTGGATAATGTATTGTTTTATGTTTCACTTTGAGTGATGTGATTTTCTGGCTGTCCAGGATATCTTCAACCTTTTCTGCTTCTGTTCTTTGAGAAAATAAATATTAGAATCTATAAAAGGTGCTCTAAGTTTACAATTAATCTCACCAGTTAAGTCTGTAAACCAATCAGCAACAGAGTTTTGAGCAAAGGCAAAATCTTAAAAACCATAAGATACACGTACATAAAAGGCCTTACATTATAAAACCATCCCGTTAGCCACAAATACTATATCTCGTAATCAAGCCTGGGGTAAAATGGAGCTGTGGGCCTCAAGCTAGTTTGATTAAAATGTGATAGGAAGCAAATTCATAGCGGAAGAATACGCACTATGTAAGCAAATATTTAAGATATAGAGATATTTAAGGTGCTAAAACAACATTTTGATACAAGGTCCTTTTACATGACAGGGCCTTAAGAAAAGGTCAAAATACAGAGTATGCTTGTACCATTTTAGGTTTTATTGTGCTTTAGGTCATAATACCAAACAAATCGCCCCCAATTTGTTTGTGGTGGGTAAAGACAACTTTTGTGCCGTTGGACCCACTATCAGAATGTTAACACTGAATGTTTTATAAGGTCCAGTGTGTAACATTTAGGCTCTATTGGCAGAAATTTAATATAATGTTCATAGGTATATTTTCATTAGTGTATAATCACACAAAAATAAGTGTGATTTTGTGACCTTAGAATGAGCGGGGAGGCCTTCTATGGAGGCCGCCATGTTGAACTGCCATGTTTCTACAGTAGCCCAGAACAGACAAACACTGGCCCCGTTCGCAGCTTTTGCACCTTTAGCAACCTCCGTAGTTTCTCCCTCGTGCTCGGAAGGGGAGGGTGAAACAAGTGAGTTGCCATCTGCACCTTGACGCCACTAAATCCTAAACACTGGACCTTTTAACAAGACGCTGATAAATATTGACATTTTCAAACGATGTCCGTGTGGGTGTGTATATCATAGGCTGGCTCAAACTGACTAAAACATTTTCTTCTGCCTCTGGCTCTTGTGTTTCCATGCTGTAGGTTGGCATGTGGTGAAGCACTGCAATGCAAGTCTACAACGTGGCGAATGCAAGGAATGTGATCATGAGACGTACAACAGCGACCCTAATGGCCAGACGTCCTGTGAGCCCTGCACATCCTGCTCACACGGCAATGGTATCACAATGGACATCACTGGTTCATTTATTTCCAGTAAAAACAAAAGAAATCCAAAAGACGAGGTTTCAGTGCAGTACAGCTTTTTTAGGTTCTTATTATTAATATCAACTTTAATCCCAGTAAGTCGCACAGTGAACCAGCATGAACAAAACCAAGATCTTGAAACTGAGGCAGCTAAATGGAATTCAGCCATCAGTAATTTTATATTTAAAAGATGTGCAGTTCCTACTGTGACGACAAAATGAAGAGGAAGATATACTACAACCCTATAAGCTCCACATACCTGGACACATGTTGTAAAATATTATTTTCTGATCGATCTGATTACATCATCATCTCTGCTTATACTGACCTTATTAAATGGACCAGCACGATGTGACCAATCCTCATTAACTGCTTTTTTTATAGTAGTTTTTTTAGCAGTGTTGATAGCAGTTCGTTGATAGCATTTAATTAGTCATTTGGCAGAAAATTAATCTGAAACTTCTGATAATCAGTTCATTGTTTTCATAAATTATCAAGCAAATATGCCAAACATTCCCTGAAACCAGATTATCAAATGTATTTTATTTGTTTTGCATTATCATTGATAATAGGATAATTAGTTGGAGAGGAAAAAGAACGTCAAGTTGGGCTCTGGGAACATTTTTCACTATTTTCTGACATTTTCTAGATGAAACATTATGTGATTAATCACAAAATGATGGCCAGATTAATTGATAATGAAAATAATTGTTAGTTGCCGCCTCAATCCCAATCAATTCCACGCACATACCGATCAGAAAATAATAATCTAGAAAAATATTTCAGTTTATCTATGAGAAGTCAATATCTCTTTTTAGAAAACAATATGGAGTATATCCTGGTAATACAACCATAATACGACCATAATATTAATTATGTCTCTCAAAATGTGCATTTATGTACCGCAAGTAACTACAGTTCCTTTAATGTCAGTGGTGTGATTTTATTATCCTTTCAGATAATCTAGAAGTTGTTGAACCCTGCACTCCTGCCAGGGACACAAAGTGTGGATGTAAAGAGGGTCACTATTGTAATACTCCCGAAGAAATCTGTAGACTTTGCCAAGCCTGTGAAACGTAAGTTCTTCAAATATCTGTACCCTAGAAGATGTATGTGTATGTCTCCAAAACAGTGTCACCAATGTTTGGAAAAAGATGTTTTAGTTATTTTTTATCACCATTCAGTTTTGTCACTTGCTTTTCTTTTGGTTCAAGATGTGGTGGTCCTGAGAACATTAAAGAACCGTGTACAAACCGCACTAATACAGTCTGCAAGGAAAAAAGTGAAGGTATGGTTTAATTTCGCATGGCTGCATTTGAATTAAATCATGACGGCTTCATGTAATATAATTTATTAACAATAATTTCATCATTCTGTGTGTACTATAAATGTGGTGTCCATATGTTTGTCTTTCAGGGGGAAATATAAGCATACCCGGCATAATTGTTGGTGTTATAATAGCTATTGTAGTAGTAGTGGCGGTGGTGTTTATTTGGAAAAAGAGACCATTCAGTGAGTATTTCCACCACTATACAACTATAAGTAATGGGACCAACAGAGGGCACCAGAACCTCATGGGTTTGTGTGATATGTGATAGTACCTGTGGTTTGGTTCACATTTAAGTAACATTCAGATTTAATTGCCATTTCTGTAGGTTTTTACTAATGTTTGTGTATTTTTTTGATAATTTATCTCAAAAGGCAGACAGAGGCAAGGCCAAGTGCCAAATGGAAATACACATGATGTGGTAAGTTATTGGGATGCACAATATTAGGCAATATAAAGGCCAGTAAATAGGATGTGTGTTATTCTGATATTGAAATTATAGTTGATAAATTATTGGTCAGTAATAATAATAATAATGTATTTTGAATTCTTATGCCAAACGTTTTAAAGCCTTTATTATCTTCAAAAGCCAAAGTATGTTTGCCAAAGTTTTTGTATGTTTTTTGTGTGTTAACAATAGTGATGTCTGTTAGATTTGGTTAAAACAGAGCTATGAAATATTAAATCTTCCATCTTATTATTAGCTATGCTCCTCTTTTAGTCCATTTATAACTGACCAGCTGTAAAACTTCTTTTGTCACACTCGCACATGTGCATGTATGATATGAACGCTTTTCTGTCTCTCCTCTAATGTTGGCATAGCTGCCCCTTTCTGTAGGAGGTGCAGGTTAGTTGTCTGAAAGCGTTGGTGTCGTTGTTAGTGTGCTTGCTCTGTGTCAGTACTATTGTGTAAGCAGTTTTATAACTGTGGACTTGTAAATCGTTTATTAACATTCATTCTGCTTCTGTTCCTCAGGAGATGCAGCCTCTTTATGGTAAGAAAAGACCATGTGTTTTAATTGATGCAATATTAGAGCTTTAAGTGCTTTTTTCAATATATTTTGGGTTGTCAGATGAAAAAACAGATCAATTGATAATCAGACTTAATTTACTTTTTGTTTCCCTTCATTATTCAGTCACATATTGAGTTTATGTTACCTGATTTCTGTTTGGGAGGGTTATATTTTATGTTATTTAGTCTATAACAATCAGTTGTGAGTGACATATCCTTCCTTATTTTGTTGTCTTGTTAGCTGCAGTAACGATGCCAAGGAGAAGTTAATTTAACGTTGCCCACTACAATATAAGTGATATGCTGATTTATGCCCAGTTATTATCTGTTACCTGTAAATTGAATTACAACAACTTGTACGTCTATACTTTGTTGCCATTATTCTGGCAGCTTTCCTGTTACTATTTTTATGTAGTTATTTCTGTGGCACAGGAAGATGATGTCCCCATTTTTAAACCTGCCCATAATAAACATCTGTTGTTTTCCTAACTGCTGCGACCACTTTAAATGTAACTGTAAATGCCCCTGCAGGTTCAGTAAAGTTGTAACGTGTGTTGTACTTTGTTTCATTAATCCTCATTTTCCCTGTCTTTCACACTGTCAGAAGTGGATCTCCAGCCTCGCCTGCCTGACATTGCAGAAGCACTGGGATGGAAGGATATGAAGGAAGTAGCAATACGTAGCAACATACCAATGACTGTTATTGACTCTTGTCAACTGGACATCCCTGGTGATAGTAAGGAGCAGACTCTTAAACTACTGTTAAACTGGGTGGAGAGTCAGGGCTCGGATGCAGCGAAGAACTTGCTTGAAATCCTACAAAGAAGTGGCAAAAGGAGAAAAGCCGAAAGGGTGAAAGAGATATTGAGTCATGACTACTAGATGAAAGCTTCCTGTGTGAATGTGTCTATTGTGAGCACTAATTGAATTGTTGAATTGTATATGTGTGAGTTAGGATTTTTGTAAAAGCAGAGTTAAATGAAAGGTGAAAGGTTTTCTCAAAACCCCATTTATGTGTTTACATAATGTTTGTGGAGATATGTGCCATTTTTTTGTGATGAATAGTGTGTGCCATGGTTTATATAGTGTGCAATAAATGTGTTAATAAGTGTCACATGGATTTTGGTTCCTTATGTATTATTAAATTGTTATTTGTCTTGTTATTTGTTTCATCTAATGCTGATGGACACCAGATTTTTCAGTTCAGCTGTTCCTAATCAAACGAGAACACCACAGTATATAACTATTGAGGCTTGTTGCAGTGACGTCTGACTAACTGTAACATCTTTAACATCTAAGTACTTAGAAATATGTATGTGTACTTTACCATGCTTTTATTTTGTGACATAGTAACATTACTGCACCCCATAATTGTTTTATTATTTAAATAATTAAGTATCAAGTAATACAGATAGACCTACATTCACATACTTCTTAAATCTCTAGATTTTTTTTGGACACTGTAGCTAAACTTACTGAAAAGCCATCATCTGAATATAGATTAGATACAAAATGACTTCCTTATCTCCAGGTACGTCTGCAGAATTGGTCGTACAATATTTATACACTGATTGCTGATTCCCAGTCTCAGTTCTTATTAATCTCTCTTCAGACATTGTATAAACTTGTTTTAGCTTCAAAATCAACCACCTGCCTCCTTGACCAGATTGACTGATTACTATAATGTTTCAGTACTATAATACTTCAGACTACTTTAGTATACTGGCTTCCCTATCCATGTCAGATCATACACGCCTCATAATCAGACTCACTGGATTTACTTTTTTCCTCAAGGGACATTTTTGTTCTGGTGGCTTTATCACCACTAAGGCTGCAATTACTTATTATTTTCATTACTGATTCATCTGATGATTATTATTTCAATTAATCATTTGATCCATAAAGTCAGACAATAGTTGAAAATAGTGTAGTGTATTTTGTTTCAGTTTACTTTAATCTTCACATTTGAAAGTTTTGTCATTTTGTATCAAAATTGCTCACAATAAAATTTCTGTCAACTAATCATTTCAGCTCTAATTGGCACCTTAAATATACAACAAAATTACCCACTTTCCATGTTTTTTTTATTTGATTTTGTTTTTCTATAAAATGACACACCGCAATTTAAAACCCAACCCCTGGCTTCAAATTGCTTGTTTAGTCTGAAGTGCAGTCCAAAAACCTCAGCCCTTTATTATCACAGAGACAAAGTAAAGTAGCCGTAAAGAGAGAATGTCTGCTATTTTTAGTGGAAAGATTCCTTAAACAATGTACTGTCAATTGTTGGGTACTTTTCTGTGAATTGAGTAATCAATGCAGCTGATGAACACACTTCCACTTCTGACTTTGTTTAGTACAGTGGTGACACCATAATTGAGTCATTAGCTTTTATTTATAATGGTTTCCAAGTTCCACATCCTTTAAAATTCTGGTTCCGTTGTCAAGGCTGAGTTTGATGCTGCTATAAATAAGTCAGTGGTCGAATAAAATTACATTTTGTAAAGTTGAACTTTGAGATTGCATTGAAAGGGTTTGATAGAAACATTGTGGGAATGTGTAATAAAGAAATCAATAGTGGAGTTACACAAAGGTTTTTATAAATACCTGAATATTTAAAGCAGAAACAAAGTAAAGTTTCAACCTATCTACCTGTCAAAGTCCAGTGTGTAACATTTAGGAGGATCTATTGGCAGAAATTGAATATAATATTCATATGTATGCTGAAAATAGGAATAGTTGTGTTTTTGTTACCTTCGAATGAGCTGTTCGTATCTACAGAGGGGCCTTTAGAGGCCACCATGTTCAACCGCTGTGTTTTGTGGCCACAGTAGTTTCCCCTAAAAGCCTGGAAGGCTGAGCTGTATTCAGATGGTTAAACTGCCATTAACTCATATCAGCTATATTTTTTGCTCATTCTTGTAATAGTGTAACGACATTTTTTTGTATTCATGTGTCATTGCACCTTACAATTTATACCTCCTACCTACTTGAGGTTTTTTCACCTTTTATGTTGATACTGTAAAGTTGTTGACAAACAGCTGCTTAGTTAGTTGCTTAGTATAGTGTTTCACCATGAATGCATCACAACTTCCAGTGCACTGGTGCCCTTTTTGTTTTGCCCCTGCCCCTCACACCGCCTGAGTCTGCCACTGTTTCATCAGATTCATGTTCCTGTCTTGTAAATCCCTGAGGAAGGAAGGCAATCGTTTTAGCCCGGTTATTTCCAGTCTGCAGATTAGTCTGTCTACTTTCATTTCTCATCATTCGGCCTAAAATAGTGACATTGGCACCAATGTGCCCTCATTCACTTTTACCATCATGTTTGTGTCTAGCACAGTTTCTGACAACATTCTTTTTTAGTTGAGGCATCAGCTTCGTATCAGACACATCAGTGTTATTATTTCTACAGCAACTATATCATCACCTGTGCAGTGAATTCTGTTTTATGAATAAAAGACTACAGTTGAGTATCTATTGAAATTACTAAAGAAAAAATCAAAATGGAGAGAAATGATTTAACATTTGAATGAAAAGAGAGGAATGAAATGGATTAATATGTCAAATGAATTTGTAAAGTTATTAGATACCACAAGCTAAGTAAACTGAACCTGGAATATTTTTTTAATCTATTTGTATGTATATGTATTTATTCATTCTGTAATTTTTCTTTTTTACTTTTTCTTTTCATCTGATGAATCTACAACTTACACTAACTTTGCTTTTGAATGTATGAATAATAGTAATAAAAAAGTATTTAGTGCAAATTGTGCAAAGAGAGCGAGTGAAAACAGATGATGCGTGCCTTCATATGTTGTAAGTACACATGTGGATACAAGTTTGACTTTCTAGAAGAGCGTGGGTGTACCACCTCACAGTACCTCATAAAAAGAAATGTTTTTTCTTGTGCTGACAATTGTTATGTAAGTGTCATTTCAGCTCCACATTACAGGGAGTAAGTGGAAACAGATGATGTGTGCATTGTGCCAGTAGATAGACAGGGATACATGGTTGGATTGACTTCCTGGGACAAGGTGGGTGTACCACTACAGTGCATTTTAATAAAAACCATTTGCATGCACTGACAAAGTGTTATATAAATATTATTTCAGCTCAAAATTCATCAATTCATCTATCTCCCATGAGGAGAATGTGTCCAGTCATTTTAAAATAATGCAGACACCTGAAATAAATGCATGAAACCGTATTCTCCATACAAGACTGATTGAAAATCATGTATTTAGTTTGGTGGAACAGTGAACATAGTGGGTTAACAGATGGACATTGGACATGGAGAAATTTTAACAGCTATTTAAGATCGTCACAAAAGTGACTGAATTTGAGCTGACCACAGCTTACTCATGAAGGAGGAAACCAGAAACACCTCATTATCATATTAGCATGAGGAACGTGGAAAATCGGAAATTTGATACAATATAATATAATATAAATAATATAAAAAATATATACCCCTGTATAAATATATACCTACTGTAGTTGAAAGAGTTGCAATCTCAACTACACTGTTAGATGCGCCTAAATCATACACACTGGTCCTTTAAAAGAAAAATAGGAGATTAAGATAAATCAAGTTTTCATTTATTTTATCAATGAGTGGTGGCAAAGGAAAAAAATAAAAAGGGTATTTTACAGGTATAATACTTTTAACCACATTTATTGATCTGTAATAATCAGTAATATCTATGGCAAATGTGAAGTAAATTAGTTTATTAAAATAAGTATATTACAGTGATTTATGAGGTTAAGTGATACTTTGAAATACAGTTAAATTATAATGATGATGAAAAATGATATAATTCCAATAGTGACAATATAAATACATTTATATACATATGTGACTGTATATAGCTCGTACCTTGTACTGATCTGATGAAACTGAGTTTTTTACAGCCACCTTTAAAGTTTAAGTTCAGATTTTTTCATGTCTATCTTAATACAATGATGGCATGCCCATGTTCATATTGAAACAGTTATTGGTCGCTGTTGTCTAGAATATAGCTTTCATTAAGTCAATTTTTTATCTTTAGTTGCTTGTCTTGCAGGTTGACAGCTGGAAATAATGTCCATCACACATTCTGATAATCATGGCTTCTTGTTTCTTGACTTCTTCTGCGTGTCTTTTCCCTGCAGTGTGCCAAAAAGTCTGTCCCAGTGCGTAAAGTATGGCGCGTAGTTTACCCTGAATTTTAGGTGGTGGAGGTCATGATGCTGAGCTCCTCCGTAGAGGCCGAAGGGCACCAGTCTATGTGGAGACCAGGGAAATTCATAGCCTGAGTGAGCCTCCACAGACAGATACATGTTAGTAACATAGAAGAGCATCTCCGTGAGCGGGTGGCAGCCCAGGAGAGCAGGGTTCAGTGTTGTGAAAAAGCTGAGACTCAGCATCTCCCAGACGCTTGTGTTTTCGGTCGTCAGCGAGAAGGTGGCCGTGTAGAAGTGGTGCTCCTTGTGGAAGAAATTGTAGAGCCAGGACACCTTGTGATGCAGCAGATGCCACAAAAAGTACTGCATGTCGAACAGGAGGAGGCAGGCCAGTATATCCTTAACAACAGACAGCATCTCAGGTGCCAGTAGAGGATAAAACACAGGTCTCAAGTACCAGTGCACAACAGACAAAGGGAAAATGAAACAGACATGGTTGCGGACAATTTTGCAAAAGCAACTGTAAGCCATTGTCCATGTCACCTTGCTTTGAGGCTGGATCTTAAAGCGGTGTACCAGGGTCAGTCTAGAAGAGAGCAAATCCAGACAAATGTAAGGGAAGCAGCAGCTCAGGTGCACAGTCAGAGAGAATAAAACTGGAAAAAACGGAGATCTGAGGAGGCTCTGTTGTCTTAGCAAGTCCCAAAGAATCTGCAGAGGAAGCATCTCTGTGCTCTGTGAGTTTGTCACCCTGCAGTATGAGAAAGCCTCACAGTACAGTACATTTCTACTTTAGTGAAGTGCTGCGACATTGCGCAACAAAGCATTTCCTGAGGGGTTTCACATGGAAGACAGTGCCAAAAAAAAACTTCACCAGAGATTTAGTTAGTCACATGTATGCCATTTTATAATGGCACTGTTTATCACTTTGAAAGCAGGGGCTTGTTTAATGTTAGTAAGATAGGATTTCCAGTGTTGAGGCATCACGCAACAGTGTCTATCAGTGAATGAAACAATGTTAATATGTTTATGAACATCTGCTTCCAATGCTCATATTTTTTGGGATTGTTGCTGTGGTTCTTTCTTGAGGAAGCTATTGAAAGGAATAAGTTGTGTTTAGTCTGTGCTTCCTGTGTGTCCTGCCCTCCCTGACTGTAGGTCTCTTTTATTCGAGTATGAAGCGCCACCACGTGGATGCAGAATATTTATTGTGGAAGTGACTTTGTTACATTATGCTATAACAGTAACCATGTGTTGATTGTTTTAGGAAGATTATTTTGTATTTTCAGGGTTAGCAGAGCTATTTTGAAACATCAGATTTCACATCGAGGCCCAATTTAAGAAAAAGTTTTTATTTTTATTGTTTTACATTTTTAAACTAAATCAGAAAAAAAATTTGTGTACAATGATTATTTGTTTTTGAACATTTTGAGTTAACTGATGGATTAGACTAATAGATTAATTTTTTTACAGTAAGGTCTGATTTTTTATCTTTGAGGGATTAATTCACAACCATCATTACGTCCACATTACATGTTTTCAGCTGTTAACTTGTTCAATATCAACATAAAGGGACCTGCAAATAATAACAGAAAATGTCATGTTTATCATAGAAAGGAAGTGATTAACTGTAAACCATCGCGTGTCAAAGTTATACAGTACGTTATGTGTACATTGTAATGTTACTGAGTCAGTCACAGTCTGTCACCTGCAGGCTACCAACAGCGAAGATACATTTTAAGATTCACCTTGTTGTATCAGAAGGAGATACATTGTTTGTGCTGACAGACTGTGTGGAAGAGGCACATGTTTTTATGATTTTGAACAAACAATCAACTTACCTTCAGACAGTGATGGAATGCAACTAAGTTCATCCACTCAAGTATTGTATTTAAGTACAGATTTTAGGTACTTTTCTTCATGCGACTTTATACGTTCTGGCACTGATCACTATTTTTAGAATTTTTATAAACCACACATATCATTTGCTTAATGGAGAAAATTATTAGCATAATCATCAAGTAAGTAAAGCTTTATTTATATAGCACTTTTTTAACACAGAGTTACAAAGTACTTCACAAACAAACAAATAAAAATATAAACACACATACACACATATAGGTATATATATATATATATATGCATATATACATATAAATATGTACATGCATAACCATACCCAATTGTACATACACAGGGAGCATATAAATACAAACTATGGAAGATAAAACAAGACGGAAAGGATAATTTAAAAGAGAGACGAGTAGAGATGAATAAACAAACAATGACTTTTGCTGTCCTATTTAAAGGGGACATATTATGCAAAACCAACTTTTTAATTGTTTGAGTATATACATTTGGGAATCTGGAGTGCCTATCAGCAGGCAAAGTGTGAAAAAAGATGACTCAGTCATGTTTTTGTGGGCTGCCTCAGTCAGAATACATGAGATAAAACACACAATTAGTTCAAAATTAGCTGCAAGCATAAAGGAGCATAACATTTTATTAGTCCATTAAAACACAGTACATTTAAGTGAAATACACAGTATTATTTAGACTGACCTAATTTACAATACATATACATTTACATCTGATACATTTATGATATTTGAACTCATCATAAGTCCCACTACATTTATTGTTGTTCTTTTGCACTGTTACTGTTGAACATTTTAGTTTTTAATTTTTAATTTTTCTGCTGCCATTTCCATCTGCCTTTTCGCACTACCATAAGTATTATATATTTCTGTTTGAAATGAAGGTTTAAATTTCAATTTAGTAATTAATAAGTCTTACCATCTGTTCTTATCTGTTGTGCCTGTGCACTTTATCTGTTTCACTGTGGGTGAATGAGAAACGTCCTCTCGATTCCTTGTATGTCTGGTGCATGTGAAGAATTGACATTAAAGCTGACTTTGGCTTTTGACTTTGACTGCACCGTCCTCCTCTCAGCTCACAGGGCCTGTTTCGGTGGCTGGGCGGTGTCTGTGTGTCTGTGTGTCTGGGTGGAGCTCACAGTCAGGAAATGTGTAAGAAAAAAGCTCAAAGTGTTCCCTCGTTGTGCGCATGAGTTGGATGAGGCTGCGTTCACAGGAGGGAGCCCGCCACAGGAGTTTATCACCATGAACTCAGCCAGAAAACAGAGCAAAGGTAGGACATATCCACTTTTATACACCGTGTGTCCTGTAAATGTGCTCCTCTAGACTTTTACATCGACGAACAGCCGCGAAACATGCACTTATTCCACCCGAGTGATGCTCGTTGCTCACATTTTCGGGAAAGTAAACGTTTAAGTTGTTGTTTGTTTCTTAAAGGTTTACACAGCATCACACAGGGCTCCGTTTGTTAGCTGAACAGGCTGTGAAGTGACTCATGAGTGTGGAACAATGTTTGTCTGTCAGCACATTTCCGTGATGAGCGGGTCACTATTTTGTTGCTAAGACAACCGAGGAGGAAACCGTTGGCGATGTGTCGAAACGACGTCACAGTAGTGCATATACACGTCATAGTGAGAGTTGTTTAGCATACTCCAAACACCCAAATATGGTATTAATCATCCACTTTACATTTAAATTAGGTACAGTTTTAAAGTTGGCCACTTTTACTTTACTCAAAGAGTGTAAATACTCCTTTTACACATACAAGTCCTGCATTCAGGAGTGTACTAAAGTCATCAAAGTAAGATTTTATATTGAGTAGAAGTACAAGTGTTAGCATCAAAATGTATCCCCTACTTTATCAAAAGTAAAACTGCTCAGTATCTTATCATATTATTAGATTACAGTTATTGATACATTCATTTGTTCATTGCCTTTATATCGCAGCTGAAATACTGTACACGTAGTAGTAAAGTCAAATTTACACCAGCCTGCAAGTCCACCAGCCTGCAACATGCTGTTTACATGTTAATGCATCGTGATAATTTATTAATGAGGATATTTAGCTGATAATAGTTCAGTAAAATATTTAAGGCATAAGGTTTACTTTGACATAGCGGTCTTAATGTAACAGGATACATGTTTAAACACAGTGAAACAGTAGCACAACTAGAGGAAATGCATTTACACAGCAGTCTATTTAAAGACCTGCTTTTGCTTTCATAAGCGAGTATTAGATGCTTTAAGTTAGTAAGTTTTGATCCGTTTTAACATAAATAATGTTTCATTTCTTAATCTTCTTAGTCTTTGTTTATGTTGAGCACGTTCTTTAACAATAGGTGATCTCTAATATGTTTTAATGAAGCACAGCACATGCCTCTCAGTCTGGGCTGATGTTTGTTTGGATGGACTGAGCCATGTAAGTGTTGGACCACATCCCAGTGAGTAAGTCCTGGGAAATTTCCCTGACTCTGTGGCCTCACACACTCATACATTACTGCACCACTGTTACTGCTGCCATTTTAAAACTCGAGTCCGAAAGAGAACAGCTCATAATCTCATGACCTTACAGTGAGATCAAGATGCATGTGTACGTCCTATTTCTTGTTCCTCTTATTCGCTAAAGGAAGTCCCATTTTAGGCACTTTTTATATGCCTTTTATTTTGAAGATTTCAATGGCGGTAGTTTATTAAGTACATCCTCGCCAGAGCATTGTGCAGTTGTCTCTTTAAATTCTGCTTGGAACATAAGCAAGAGACTTATGTAATTTCCTCTTCTGTACAATATATTGCATGGCTTATCGGCCATCTGATGACGTCCAGGAAAGAAGATAATAATGTCAATGTGAGTGTTTTCCACATTGTTTCACTTAGAAACTTTATTTGGACATTTTCCAGAAATGCAGGATGTTAAGAGGCACAATTTAAGTAACTGAAAAGGGTTATCAGAGGAGGGCGACGTTCTTCTAAAGGGCTCGATCTTCCTTCCTCCCATGTTGCACAGTCTGATACTGGCCGAGTGCGTCACTCAGCCCACTGCCTCTATATTTAGAGGCACAATCTGTGCTTCCCTGGTGGAGTGGTTTACAAATATAACAGGATTTTATATATATAGCATGATTTTCATACATGTTATTCAGCACACTTAAACCCACTTCAATAAAACCATTTCTGTTTTTGTTTCAGGATCTGAGCTTCAGCTGCCCGGACGTCTACTCGGTGCTTAAATGTGTACGTTAAAAAGGAGCTGAAGATGCAGGGGGCCATTGCACGTGTGTGTGTGGTGGTGGCCGCTGCCATATTAAACCACCCCTTGCTGTTTCCTCAAGAGAACACCACACTCCCGGAGCAGGACGAGGTGCTGATGGCTCGCATGCGGGAGCATGAAGAGAGGCTGGAAATGGAGCAGGCCAAGCTGGAGAAAGAGCTTTCACAGCTGGAGTCACAGCAGGAAGAAACCACCCCGGAGGAGGGTTACAGCTGGTACTTCTGGAGCACTGTGTCCTTCGTCATATTCTTCACTATCGAGATGTACAGGGTGGATGTTGCCGACACAGAAATCAAGCCAGTTGAGGATGAAGACATATTTTCAGAGAGTGGATCAGTCACCCCCATAACGGTGGTACTCGATAAAGATGTCCTGAGAAACTTCTGTGACAAATGCAGCTACGCTTCATCTCATGAAAACTGGAGGGTGAGGGAGTTTGTCGAGGGTTTCGCCGATGACCTGCTGGAATCGCTCAGGAGCGTGTGCGACAGGGAGGCAGACATGGAAGTCGGGGACTTTGTCGGGATTGGAAGCATGTTCGAGTCTTGGAAGGTGTGTAAGCCACTGATGTGCGACCTGATCGTGCCTTTCTCGCCTCCGGATCCGTACTCCTTCCAGTTCCATCTGTGGTGCAACCCCTCCAGCGACGTGCCTCCGGACATGCAGGGCTGTGGCAAGATAAAAGTGACCAGGTTTGGGGAGAACGATGAGGGCTGTCTCTGTGGCTCTGCTAACCTGGGAGAGGACATGCTGTGTCTGTTGCACGGCAGGAACGACACGCTCAAAGTGGACCGCAGTCCTGATGAACTGCTGTGCTCCAGGAACACACCTTTCTTAGCCAAAGATCGAGTCATGAAGTGGTTTCAGATCTCTGTAACCAAAGCGTGGGGACGCATCTCTCACAAGTACGACTTTGAGGTCACTTTTCGCAACCTGGATGCCGCCGGTGCTCTGAAGATCCGATTCCGTTCGGGGAAAGTCATCGTAATGAACATCATACCGGTGGTACAGCTGGAGGATACAGACGCCTATTTTGTCTCACACTTTCCCTCAGATTGTGACAGCTCTCCCGACCCATACTGGCCCCTCTCTTTTGCTGCCTACGAAAGGAATTTGCTGAAACATTTTGCCAAACGCCTACCACAAAATTCCTGTCATTTGCACTGCCTACAGATTGTTACTTTCCTGCACAGAAAGCAGACAGGGCTCACAGGTGTGAGTGCCCTCACTAACTATCACCTAAAGACCGCTCTGTTGCACTTGTTGCTGACTAAAAGGCCCTCGGTGTGGGGCATTGAGAGTATGGAGCACAGACTTCGGGATGTGCTCAGCTTCTTGCAGAGGAGCCTGCGGGAGAAGAGACTTCATCACGTTCTGATCGGGAACAGTAAAGTGCCAGAGGACGTCCGGGTTCCTGAGATAATTCGCAAAGCGGAGCCCATCAATCTGTTTCGGTCTCTGGTGTTGCAGAGGGAGCTTCATGCAGCTACAACGAGGCACTTCCACGAGATGTTGAGAAATGCACCAGTGCTTATACGAGAGTACACACCTCACTTATCAAATGGAGGTCTACACCGCAGCCTGGATGAAAGCGTGTGAGCTTCAGTGTTACTAAGAGTCATACGCAAGTACTGAAATGAAAGGTGCGCATACAACAGTTATTTTAGTTACGGGCAATATCTTAGATGTGGTTTTTGCTGCAGCTGCTCTCTTTACATTAAACAAGGTAGCCAGTGTGTTGAGAATCTGGCCTTCAAACAATGCATAAGCAGCATTTCTGTCTGTAAAATCTAGTGGCAAAACAGTGCCTTCCCTACAAGATTTTATGGGTGTATTGTTTACCCATGTAGTCGATCTGTATTCAGTCCGTAGGACTGTTTCTGAGTCATATTGCTTGTTTTATGGGCATAATAATTTTCTTAAGATATCCCTAATGCCTCTAAAAGAAGCAGCAACTAGTAATTTACATGAAGGATTATTTTAGAAAAGCATTTCAGTATTCTCCTGATAAAAAGACAAAGCACTTTTGTCTGTTGGGGAAACATTTGAACAGAAATACCTCTCATGTTACGCTGGTCTAACAGGAATAAATGACCTAATAGAAGATAATTATTTGAAGATCAGCTTGTGCCGATGATTGGCTGATAAATCGATGTATCCCTATACCAAACAGTATAGCAGTGTTTTTGTTCTCATTCATACTGTTGCGAATGTGATGGCAGCTATTACATTTTGTAATGTTCAATGATAAATATGTTTTGTTATTGCTTATTAGAATGTTTTTCTGGTTACATTTCCACTGGGTTGATGTCAAATCTTTGGTAGAGCTGCAGTTTATTAAATGGGACAACCCTGTGCAGCCTGCGGGGAAAACAGTTTTTTGTTTTGTTTATAACACAGACAAAATACAGATTCAGGCCGGAGTCATTACATCTCCAATTTTTATTAGAAAAAGTGCCAAACTTTGGAATGGATCATTGAAAACATCTCGAGTCACATTTAGCTCAATATGCCTCATTCCCATTATGGTTCATATTTCCCCTTCAATACCAAAATAAGTCTTAAATGTCCAATAAAATATATTTTTGTTCTTAACTCATCATGATATTTACTATAGTATATTTTCCTATTACACACTTTGAAAGACAGATTCCAGCCTAACCATGATCAAAAACCAAACAAATGGACGGTTTAAGGTTTGGAGCACTTATGTTCTACAGGCCATAGTCATAGTTGGGTTTTCCCTCAGTGTAACTCTTGTAGAAGGCCTTGTAGGTGTCCTCACTGTGCATGGTGGCTTTGACAGCCGGGTCCTCAAACATGCGCTCCGTCCATTTCTTCAGCTCAGGTGTGCTGTCAAGGCAGCTGAAAAAACAAAGGGAATGCAATCATTCACTCAAAACCAAAATTCAACTCATGAAGTCGCCCTCATGAAATATCAGATATCATGAAGGAAAGACGACAAAGAAGACTTTGAGACTGTGAGACTCCCTGCTTTATATTATACTTACTGTACTGAACCTAATATTTGCTCCTATCTACAGTGACCTTGACTGTTATGAAATGCTTCTATACATAAAATGTATTTATTTTTAAATGTCCTGGGTGATTATTACTTACTGTTTCAGTTCAAAGATCTCCAGCCTCTCAAACCAAGGCCACATCATGTAGTCGATCATTGTGATGGAATCGCCACCAAAGAACTTGGTCTTCTTATTAACTAAGTCCTTAAAAAATAAACATTACATTCATAAGCGTCTTATAAAACACTGTAAACTAACCAGATACAGTCATTACAGACAGACACATGGATGATCTCACTTTTACACGTCTTGTGAATGTGTAAAGAAATCAGACTTTCTTGACTTCCCAACCTACCTCATTTAATTTGGCAAACTTCTCGTTCAGTTCAGCTTCCAGTTTTGAGACATCCTCGCCATTCTTTCTCCCAATGGGGATCTTGTAGAAGTATGGCGTTACCTGTAGAAAACAGTGGCATTAACATGATTATTTAATGATGGCAACTGTAGAGAAATATACAAAACAGAACCCCAGAATTTAGGTGCAAGTCTTCATATAAGATACCTTGGAAAAATGCTCCAGCATCATCTTCTGTTGAGCTTTCCCAAAAGGAGAGGAGGGAAGCAGCTTGTTCTCGGGGTAAACTTCATCCAGGTATTCACAGGTGATGGGAGACTCGTATATAATTTCACCAGCAGGTGTCTCCAGTGTTGGGACGAGACCAAGGGGATTCCTCTCAAAGTACCAGTCAGGTTTGTTTTGCAGGTTGATGTTGATGGTGTCATGCCTGAAAGACAAAAACAGGTTCTGCAAATTTAATCAAAAGCTCCGATTACATTAATTTCCTGTTCAGCTAACTGTGATACTAGGGTTTAAAATAAAGTATAATAATAATAATAGTGTGTCTTTACTTGATCCCTTTGGCATTCAGCACTAATCTGGTCCTCTGGGCGAAGGGGCAGAATCTCATGCTGTAAACTCTGATTTGTCCTTCGGGGACTGGACCTGGTGCAGCACTTCCTGGAAGAAAAAACAACTTACTAGTGTTTCCAATTTAAACTACTTATTATTTCAGAGAAAAACATTGTGCCAATATGGGTTTTTTGAGACCGACAATGATTTTAGGAAAAAAAGTACTGGCTGCTTTCTTAAAGACATAACTTTTTAAAGAATAAATAAGATATGATAATAATATTCTTAAACATATTAAATAATTTAACATTGTCAACCAATTCTACAAATGAACACTGAAAAATAATTATGAAATAAAAAAATAAATAGCTGAAAATTGTATTTAATAAAAATACATAATAAATATGTATTTTTGCATTATATACTGGAAAAAATATATAATATAGGTCGACCGGTATACTCTCTACTTTATAATATTAATATTCTACATACTGAACATTTTATAAAGTATGATGCAGTGTCACAGATTAAACTACCCAACAGATTAAATGAGCTCCACCTCCACCAGCTACATCATTAAAATGCTTTACACCAATAATAACAACCCAATAATATAATTTGTATGACAATCTGGAAGAGATTGTGCACACTTTGATACTTTACAAGTTACTGATAGTAATTCTGAATGTAAAACAGTCTGTTTGAACTTTATCCTTTCAGCCTTTTACAGTCACACAGGAGATACTAATACATGTGCTGTTCTAATGAGTAACTGCAGTAACTTTTACTGTACATTTTAAATGAGTAACTTATAATATCAGTAAAGTAACTTGTTGTCTGTCAAACATCAGAGTATCCACAGAGAGTCGCTGTGTCAATGCAATCTTTAAAAACGATAATAAGACAATGAGATGGGACATAAAGGTGGTGACTATTTGACCTGGACACTCCTGTTAGCTTTACAAACGCATAGTCACAATGACTGTGCAAAAACATAACATCCGTCCATGTATTGTGTCTCACATTTCGCAACGTCACATATAGATACTGCCAATGGTCAAGTCAGGGCGGAAGAAGTGAATTTAACAGCGTGGAAAGTTTCAACGTGAAGCAACGCATTCAGTCGAGGAGAACAGTGAACATGCACAAACCTGTGACAGATTTGAGGAAGTGAAAAAGAGTTACTGTGTTACGCTAATCGTATCTGAGCTTGCAAGCAAAAACTGACAACGCAACATGCTTTTCAAAATGCTTTTCTCAGTTAGCTGAGGGATCGCTGTGCGTCTTACCTTTGGCGAAACACTTTTCAGTAGACATGTTTACACTTCAGGGGGTGAATGAAATCAGACACCTTGGCAACAACTGAGAAAGACTGTACAGCGATTTTTACGGCTGAATTGTTTTATTTGTAGCCTTCTTCCGGTATGGGCGTGTCAGATAAAGTATCAGCCAATAGTATGAAAGGGTGGTTACCTAGGAGTTTTCTGGTTGCCAGGGAGACGCAACCACTCGCCCGTTCGTTCGACTGTTGTTGGTGAAAAAAAGTTGAATTTTTATTGTGTGTCATTTTGTTTTAACTTAAAATGGATGACACTGGAAGTTTAGAAGTCAGGTATGTCGCCGCTACTGATACACCTATTTATTTTTGTATATTAGCAAAAAACATAATTCACCAACGTTGTTTTTTTAAGCTACCGTTGCTACTTTCTATCTACCATTTGGCTGTTTTACTCCCTCCAGGTGGGCACAAGGTTTTACAAACAAGAGTATCGAGTTTGTCGACAATAAAACGGTATGTTATCCATGCGGGAACCACGTCTGTTTCCTGAACCTGGAGACAAAAACGCGGAGTGTGCTTCAGAGTCCTGGCAGAGGCGTTGGTGTATTGACAGCCAATGGCAATAATGGGATTTTTGCTTTCTCTGAGCAAAAGCTATCACCATCTATATTTGTGTACATTTTCCCTGAGTCTCAGTTGAAGAATGAATTAACAGGTAATAATGTGATGTTTTCTCCCAGCTGAGATCACCACGTGTCTATGTATTTACTGTCATTTTCTGCCAGTATGTTTTGAGTTATTTATGTTTGCATGCATCCCCTCCTACATTTTTCTCTCTCTCACAAATCCTAAATAGTCACCATTAATTCTTTTGTCTAGGACAAGCACAACTGGACTACACATCTCTGACATTAAGTGATGGTGGTCCTTATTTGGGCAGCTGTTCCTCTCTTCCAGACCACACCATAACAGTGTGGTAAGCCACTGAAAGCAGCACACTATCTTATATTGTGCGCTTAACATTCCCAGCTATGTTTATTTAGGCTGAACAGCTCTGTTACAGTAACCATGACTGTGTGATGCAGGGACTGGGAAAAAGCTGTGCCTATTTGTACACAACCACAAGCTGGGCACGATGTCATTTCTTTGGTGTTCAACCCTCTGAATTGGCTCCAGCTTTGTGCTTTGGGCACTAAATCCCTCACTGTCTGGAATATTGAGAAGAGTGCCACACTGAATGTCCTGAAACCAAGGTAAATGTAAACTGAATTGATATACGGACATGAAATTGCCCGTGCATCGCATGTGATTTAACTGATAAGTGGAATTATTTATCCTTCACATTCAATAAGCAGCAAGTGGAGTGGGGGCCGATGAAACACGCAGAATCTAGATAATTAGGTGTCAAACAATATTACTAATGTGTATGTCGTATTTGTTGCGTTGCAGTGTGATAGAGCTTCCAGCGACTGATGGTTCCTTTGTTGAGAAATTGGTGCCCACCTCTCATACTGTCAGCGACAAACTGCCCTATTTCGGTCCAGAGATGGCTCCATCAGCCATATGTGGGTTCATGGGAGAAAGGACAGAGAGCATTGTGGTATTTATAACACTGTCACTTGTACACTAATACAGGCAAAATAAATACACTTTAACCAGTTAATATGTTTGTTTTGGAGATTTGTTGTTTTTGGATCCATGAATCTATTTGTTGGGGAAACTATTTTGTTAACAGGCACACAAACAAAGACAAAATGTAAACTGTTACCCAACTCCACGTGTGTTTGCACAGACTAAACTCTGCACCAAAGCCAGACTGACTCCTACTGCCATCTGCTGGACGGCCACATCAGAACTTTATGTGGGCTGTGCAGAAGGTTTCCTGCTTCTTGTTGACCCTGAGAACGTCTCTGTCACAGTCCTCTTCAACCCCACAAGTAAACACACACACACACACTGGGATGAGGCAGATATTTAAGAACTCACTGGGAGTATTTCTGGTCTTCCATATATTATTGTATTTTATTTGGCTATAGAAAATACATTTGATATCTGGTTTGTGTTTCACTTTTGTTCAGCTGCTGATGCGGTCCCTGAACTCAGAGAGAGCAACTTTAAAGGTTTAACCCTTAACAACAATGGTTTGGTCGCTGTAGGAAAGGTAAAAGCTCATTAACATCTTCATAAGTCTGTATGCTACCTTCAAATTTAATAAAGAATAATGTATAGTAATCCAATGATCTGATCTAATTTGCAATTTCAGGCTTCAGAAATTCATAAATTGCAATTTAAGAACACTTTAAAGTGATGATGTTTTACAGGAGAGCGTGGTGCACTGTCTGCAAATCAAAGGGACTCAGATTGACATAAAAAAAACATGGCAATTAGAAGGACCTGTCACAACTGTGATGTACTCCCCTGACTATGAAACCTTACTTTTATCTTCTAATACAGTAAGTATTTAAATGCACCATAGTGTGACACATTATACATTATATAAAATAATAACATGTTACGTGAGAAAGAAGATATACTGAGAGCATAACAGGCTTCTTGTTTTTCAGGGGCAAATCTATATGTTGAACCCAAACCAGTCAGACAAGATTGAGACGGTCCTGGACGTTCCCAGTGGCAACTTTGTGGCAGCAGCTTTTTCACACACTGAGAAGAACATTTGTGTGGTAAAACATTTGTGTTGCTCAATAATTACAGTGTCTCGTGACGGCATGTGTAATTTAGCTCAGTGTCTTTTAAGTGAGTTGCGATGTTTGTGCTTTTGCCGGTTGCAGTCAGTGAGGGATTCGGGAGAACTGCAGCTGTGGACCGCAGATGGCATTAACCTCGGCTCCCTGTCTCTTCAAACTGAGGTGGGATTCACAACATGCGATCATTCAGAGCATATCAGTTGAGCTACATCAATACACATGTTCTGTAAGCATGTGGAAATGACTTAAACCAAATCATTACATTTATCAGAATAAAAAATACATTTAAAACGTCATCTGTGCCTGTTTAGGTGACGAGTCTGGCCTGCTGTCCTGTTGCACAATATGCAGCTGTTGGTACAGCTTCAGGAAATGTCCTCTTCGTTGACCTGTACAGGGAGCAGCAGCCTCGCCTGGTTCACCAGGTTCATCTCTACCACTCTCCTGTGCATCACCTAGTGCAAGTATCCTCCATCCCTGTCATGCCACAGACTTTCAGTTTAGCATTGTACTTGTGTTAAAGCATCTTATCACACATTTTTTAAGTAGAAGCATGAGTTATCTCTATCCTTAAAACCCAGAGAGGACAACTGCTCCTCCACTTCTGTTCAGCAAATTAAAATGTCACATTAAATGGTTACAATCTT